ATATAATTTTTTTATATAAATATACACTATATGTGTTTGTGTGTAAAAAAGTATATGATTTAAAAATATTTTAATATATTAATATTTAATTCTTCATTTGCATCAGGTATTACTGGAAGAAGGGCTTCTACAGTGGACTTTCAATGCATGAAATAAAATCTACCTGGCCAACCATTGACTCTGTTGATGCTGCTTATGAGTTCAGAGACAGAGACATTAGCTTCCTCTTCAAAGGTAAAGCCATATTTCCTAAAGAGTCTTTGAGTGGTGTATAACAAGGCTTCAGTAAATGTAGTTGTGTGGTCTTCCACATACAGGTCAGCAGTACTGGGCAGTAAAGGGCAACACTACTTTGCTTGGATATCCCAAACCCATATATAAATTCGGGTTTCCCAAATACGTGAGAAAGATTGATGCAGCTGTATATGTAAAGTCAACCAAACGCACTTTGTTTTTTGTTGGAACCAAATACTGGAGGTAAGAAAAAACTATGACTGAGTATCTTAAATGAACCTTTATGCATCACATTGTCTCCACTTAATATTATGTTGATTTTTCAAAATAACATCAAAACTAACATAATTTTAACAATGGTGTAGCTTCAATGAAAGAACAGTTCAGATGGACAGAGACTTTCCTAAAACTATTCGACGTAATTTCCCTGGCATTGGGTCACGGGTGGATGCTGCTTTTGAAAATTATGGTGAGCTTAAACGCTATAAAACAAAAACACGAAATATTCAATCATTCATTATTTATTTAATGCTCTTGCCTTGAATGAAATCATTATTTTTTTCTCCTTTTTTAGGTTATCTGTATTTCTCAGAAGGTTCAAGGCAATCGGAGTATAATTTCACCTCAAGACGAGTGAATCGTTTTCTGTTGAACAATGGATGGCTAGACTGCTACTAAACATTTAAATGAAAATGAAAAGAAATTAAATGAAAGTTGTACCTACAGTAATGTACCTATATTTTTCTGTTTTGTTTTGTTTTGTTTTGTTTTTGATGAAATCTTATTACAAATATTTTTTTAGCAAAATCTTGCAATTCAGTTCGAACTCATCTTCTAATATAACTAAAAATAAATAGGAAAATGTGGATGCATTTTTATTGTAAACTGAACAACACATTGTCTCTCTCTCTCTCTCTCTCTCTCTATATGTATACTTGTGGTGTTGCTATTAATATAATAAATTAACTTGCTCACAGATACATTAAAAATACTATTTTATTATGAATATAAAAGCATTAAGTCAAGCATAAAGTAAAAAAATTTAGGTAGGCATTTTTTATATCTATATTTTACAAATAAAAATTAGACAGAACTGGGGGTCCCAACTATTATATTTTTAAAAAATCACACATTTAAACCATTTTATGAAAAGTTACATTTAGTTCAGGTCAAATAAATTCAAGAAAACTTAAAAACTTTAAAACAAAATTATGAAACCAACACAGACAAAGATTACATTTTTAAGAACTTTGTGCAAGCCAAAATTAGATTATAATAAAACTTAAAAGGGTCATATGACTTTGCTAAAAAGAACATTATGTTGTGTATTTGGTGTAATGCAATGTGTTTATGCAGTTTAAGGTTAAAAAAACACATTCTTTTCCATATAATGTACATTATTGTTTCTCCTCTATGCCCCACCTTTCTGAAACACGTTGATTTTTACAAAGCTCATCGTTCTAAAAATGCGAGGTGTGCTCTGATTGGCCAGCTATCCAGTGCGTTGTGATTGGCCGAATGCCTCAAGCGTGTGACGGAAATGTTACGCTGGTAGCGGTTGAGCACGACTGTTCCATGAATGGATCAGAGGTAGGTGGGCGGAATAATATGGATTATAATGAAGGGGAAGAAGAAGAATGGGGAGAAAATAGGAGACGGATGGATGACAAAAGAGCTAAAGGGAATAAAAGAGTAAGAAATGAGCAAGATGATAGCACAGAAAGTGAAGAAGATGGACAAACTATGGTCCAGAAAGAAAGAGAGGAAAAGTATGTAGTCATAATAAGATTTAATGAGAAGAACCAGGGGAGCATGAAGAAGGTAAATCCACTGGTGCTAACAACAACTCTGGCTAACAAGATTGGGGATATAGAGTACGCAAAGGTCCTTAACGATGGCAATCTATTGGTGAGGTGTGCTGATGCAATGCAAATTGAAAAAGTGCTAAAAGTTAAAGAAATAGGAAAATGCAAGGTGGAAAACACTGGAAGAGTGGGAGCTCGGATAGGAGGTGGAAGCACTGGAGTGATAACGGGGGTGCCAATAAATGTTAGCATGGAAGAATTAAAAAGAAATATAAAAGGAGGGAAAGTACTTAATGTACAAAGACTGAAAACAACAAAGGAAGGAGTGATGAGAGACAGTGAATCGGTGTCCGTAGAGTTTGAAGGAGAAAATATACCAAAGAGGGTATTCTTGGGATTTATGAGTTATCCAGTAAGGTTGTTTGTACCAAAGCCAATGAGATGCTTTAATTGTCAGAGGTTTGGACACACTGCTAAGAATGGTAACAGGCAGAGAAGGTGCGCTAGGTGCGGAGGGGACCATGATTATGGAAAGTGTGGAGTAGGGGTTCCACCAAAATGTTGCAGCTGTGGAGGAGCCCACAATGTGGCATATGTAGGATGTGAATTTATGAAACGGGAGACTAAAATTCAAAAGATAATTGTGGAGAGAAGGATATCCTGTGCCGAAGCAGTAAGTGTATCAAAAGAGAGAGAAAATGGTGTAAGAGAGTTAGAAGGTATGGTAGCACAAGAACAAAATCAAAGAACCAATGAAAGAATGTATGTGGAAAAAAGAGATTTAGTTACAGTCATAGCAGGGGTGATTAATAGCACTGCAGAAGTTAAATCAAAAAATGAAAAAATTCAGTTGATGGTTAAAGCTGCAGTTAACCACTTAGGACTAGTAGGACTGACATGGGAAGAAGTGAGAGAGAACCTCACTATTCAGTCAAGCCAAGAAGCACCATGGGTTGGTTAATAATTTTAATGGTAATTCTTTTACAATGGAATGCTAGAAGCTTAATGGCCAGTGGTCAAGAATTTAAGCATTTCATAAATGAATTAGAAGAGAAACCAGATGTGTTATGTATTCAGGAAACATGGCTGAAACCAAATCTTGATTTTGTAATACATGGGTAAGCAGTGTTAAGGAAAGATAGAATTGATGGAGGAGGAGGAGGAGGAGGGTGTGCTACATTTATCAAAATTGGATTGCCATATAGGTTACTAGAAATGGGGGTAAATCAGGAATTCATAGCGGTGGAGGTGTGGGAAAGAGGGGAGGGGATAAGTGTTATCAACTACTATAATCCATGTAAAAGGTTGATGCTTGATAACTTACTAAGTATTCAAGGTCAGGACAGACAAAAAGTAATCTGGTGTGCAGATTTCAATGCTCATAGCTCTATGTGGGGGGGTGTACAAACAGATGCAAATGGTAAGACTATAGAAGAACTGATGGATGAAAGAGGATTGGTCAGTTTGAATGATGGAAGTGGAACTAGGATAAACTTAGTAACAGGAATGGAATCTGCATTAGACTTAACTTTAGTGTCCAACACTTTGGCTGGAAGGAGTAAATGGGAGGTCTGGACAACAACTACGCTGGGTAGTGATCACTACCCAGTCCTATGCAGAGTTGGTGGGAGACAAGAAGTAAGGGTTGCAAGAGCAGCTCCCAGCTGCTCTTTCGAACAATTTCTCCTTCTCTCATAACCCCCGTCAGGTTGGCCAGGGTGGGGGCACTGGTCTGCTCATTTCTAACAATTGGAAATACTCAACCCACTCTCCCCTATGCAATTATAACTCATTTGAATCTCATGTGATCATTATAACAGCTCCTGTAAAACTCCAGGTTGTGGTAATTTACCGCCCTCCTGGGCAAATTCTATCCGCCTTCCTAGAAGAGCTGGATGGGCTGCTGTCCTCATTCCCGGAGGATGGCAGTCCACTTTTAGTCTTTGGCGACTTCAACATTCATCTGGACAAGACTTATGCTACAGACTTCCATTCACTCCTTGCTTCATTTGATCTCAAACGACTTACCACTACAAGCACGCACAAATCAGGCAACCAACTTGACTTAATTTACACACGCAATTGTATTGCAGACAACATTCTGGTAAAACCCCTACATATCTCTGATAATTTCTTCATTACATTTCAACTACATTTTGCTACCTGTGTGCCACCAACCCCTATACCGGTTACCTATACCGGTTACCCCTACGCTCCCTTTCCCCCTCCCATCTTTCCTCCACTGTATACTCCTCTCTTCCCTCACCTACCCATTTCTCATCTCTGGATGTGAATGCAGCAACTGACACTTTATGCTCTACTTTAACCTCTTGTCTAGATGATATTTGTCCTCTCTCCTCCAGGCCAGCACGGGCTGCCCCCTCGAACTCCTGGTTATCC